CACATTTCTAACATTTTGCATTAATTTAACTCTGGAGTGACAATAAAACGGTGCTAATTATTAGGTTAAAATCCAGAGATTTCTGGAAAGGTCTAAACCGTCAGTGTTTCAGGATATTAACAACAACCACACCTGCAATGATACCCTACTGTAGAGTTGGAAACCGCCTCACAAAACTCCAGCTACATGGAAAATACTGACACAGTAAAATTGGGGGCAGCTTCACACTCCTTCCTGATAGAAATCCAGCTTTTATTCATCTGCTGCTGGTGTAAACACTTTAGTTCGCAGCACTTTTCTGCTTAACTTCTGTTGTCGCTTCCGCTAACGTTACAACCGCTACTAGCATACTGCCACTAGCACTTGCTATAGCTAGCTTGCTAGTAGGCTAAGCTAATTCAGCCGTTGGCGCCCCCCACGGCTAAAGTTGCCACCAAAAAGCTGTAATAAAGGTAACTGTTAGCTAAATAACTCGAACATTTTCCCACTGTTGCTAATACTGGTGGCAGCACTACCCAGTTTAATAACAAATTTAACACAATTAACATGAATATCAACACTAACAGAAAAGACATGGATAACAGCTATGAACCAGGGCCACACACTTAGCTGACTACACTCTGTTCTTGTTTCTTGCAGCTCTCCTGTTCGTAGCTTGTTGCTGTCACCCAGTGGTAGAAAGTATGTCACAGTCAGAACATCATCATTATTGACCGTGGATGGCCTCACCTCTGGAGCTTGTTTAGGTCAGATGTGTTATCAGTGCTGCCTCTCTGCTGGTTAATATTTGCAGACTACTGCGGTGAGATTATGCTTCTGTTATCACGTGCAACGGCGATAAGACGGTTCACTCTCTCAAGGCAGAAAGGACAAATAGTTACTAGAAATATGCAGCTAAACCGCACGCATTCACAGTATTTTGGAAGTTAGTAAAGTGAAGTTATTAATAAAGTTTCTAAACGTTTTGAACACGACGGACGTGTATTCCCACATAAGCAGTTTCCACAGACAACGGTAGAAGATAAAATAAAATAAAAGTAACTAAATTACCAGGCGAACATTTTAAAACAATGTTAGTGATAGTTCAGATTAGTATAGCCACGTTATATCCGTTTTGTGTGTTAAACAATTTATGAACAAACATGCAATTCTCTGTTTGTGTCATGACACTACATTTCCCAGAAGGCCACCGCACGGCGTACTACATGAATGACAGCCAAATGGACGAATCGACGTCGAGCTCGTTTGCCGTTGGGCGGGACAATGGAACTTCGAGCCGCTCTGCGGCTGCGCAGAAGCCTACTGCGCTCACAGCTGTACACATTGACCCCAGAGAAACAGATGCAGAGGTAAGTAAATTGTCTTTTTATGGTTGCAACGCTGCAGAGGACAGCCTAAGTGTATTACCAAAAACACACAACTCATGTGTGTGTTATTGACACGGTCGTCCTGAACCTCGAAGAGCTACGCGATAACTGGCCCAGTGGGTTAGAGTCACGATAATGCCCGGTGACAGCGTCAACAGCACCGGCTCGACGAGTGTGTGTCGGGTATCGAGCAGACAGCAGAAATGTTTGGTTCGTTTATGTGTCAGCTTGACTCTGTTCTGTTCTTGACTCGTTAAATATTAACGAGATTTAGCTGTTGCTGTTCGCTGTGTTATTTTTAGCAAAGTCACTTGACTGTGTTTTGTATTATTTTAGGTACGAGCACAATGGAATTTGTAGCAGGTGTGTGTGTGTGTGTGTGTGTGTGTGTGCTCAGTAATGAAATGTGCATTCCCTGCAGTGCTTCTCCTGCTGTACTGTACTGAGCTGCGTGATTTTCTTGCTGTCGTGTCCAAACAGTTAACACTTTGCATACATCTGGTCCCTGCAAAGCAGAGGAGTCACCACTGGTCACAGCACGGAGGCCAAATGGACAATAAACTCCCCATAAAATAACCCTTTACAACAACAAAACAATGCAGTTACTATAAAAACGAATTATTTATGACAGCTCCAGCAGTGAGTGTCAAGATCTGTGACTGAAATCAAATATGATCACAGCACAGTGTGTCACGTAATTACTTGAAGCATTGATTTTATTTTTTGTTTAACAGTAAACTGAGTTAAAATTGATCCAGGATTAAAAATGACAGAGATCTGGACCAAAAAAATGCTGCTGTGTCTTCTTGTGCTCATGCCAGACAGGCTGAGAACTGGGACAAGAAAGCAGAGTTAAATTTGGCACATGATATAAAATATATAGTTAAAAATGATCAGATCAATGGTGCAGTTTTGTGTGTGGTTGTAGTAAACCTGCAGCAAGTAATCAATCGATTATCAATAGATAAGTCATAAAAAAGACAATACTTCAACCAATGAATTGAATTTATCCAAATAACTGCCAATAAATTTAGTGTTTAAGTCAAATATATGTGATTCCAACTTTTTAAATAAGAATATTTTGTGGTTTCTTTAAACCTCTATGACAGTAAACTTATTAAAACATTTGAGGATCTTTGGAAGACACTGAACCACATTTTTGATATTCAATTAATCAAGAAACTAATCGACAAATTAATCAACAATGACAGTAATAGTTAGTTGTGCTTCTGTATTGTATACACAGAGTAGTTAAGGTGTCTTATTCTAACAGAGAGTTGAGTAAACTGAGCAGCAGTCTTGTCTCCAAAATGCCAATTTAAGCTCAGGAACACAGTTTTTCCAGGTTATGCATTTGCAAGATTTCAATTCCCCCGTGCTGCATTGCCACGGACATTCATCGAAATAAAATGAGGACGTTGAGCTGGAGCGTAATGATACCTGTGGGGAGGTTAACCAGGGTTCTGCTGCGGATGACAGAACTGTGCTCTGTCTGAAAACTGTAGGTTTGCTGCCGTACAGCCACTGGAGGGCTGTTACTCTTAAATATTATTTACTCATGTGGTGCTCATACCTGGGAGATAAATGTAATTGAATCATGCTGACATGGTGTCTACACTCTCGCTGATCGCAGCCTGTTTTTATGGTTTCGCTGGTTCTGTTACCACCAGTGCCCGTGTGGCTACAGAGCCTGGTTACCTGCCATTTACCAGATTAGAGCTCCTGCTGTGCTGCTGAACGGCGCTGCAGGACACACTTAGCCACACATGTGGGCACGGTACAGTAATGTGTGACCGTTTTGGAGAGTCTAACACAACGGATGGCACATGGCAGCAGCAATTTAAGTAAATCTGATTCCCGATGTAAGTAAATTGGCATGTTTTGTGTATGTTTATGTCTTTGATCGCGGTGTAATGAGCTCCAAACCTCTTTCTTTATAACTGCAGTTTCTGGAGGATGTCAGTGGTGATAACTGGATTGTCAAATGTCCCGTGTTCACTGTCACACACCGATTATTTAACTATTATGTGGAGCTGCGATGAAATTGTGGATTAGTTGTTGGAAAAAAAATGTAATATTCTCTGATTCAAGCTCCCTAAATGTGAATATTTTTTTCTTTGCTCCTCTCAAATGTCTTTGGATTGTGGACAAAATAAGACACATGAGGACTTCATCTTGTGCTTTTGGAAACAATGATTTTTCCTTATTGTCTGACATATAAAAAACAAACAACTAATCGGTTAATCGGGAAGGTAGTTGACAGAAAATAATCATTAACTGTGGCCCAATCAGTAACTCTATAGCTGCACTGTGTATGCAGCAGGCCAGGAGCTGAGTTCACAAGCCAGCTTTCAGATTTAACCTCAAAATGTTATTTTTTGAGATGTTCACTGAGTTGGAGAGAGTTTTCTCAGAAACAAGCAGACTGCAACGTGACAGTTTGCATGCCGTTAAATCCCGAAGTATCAAAGGCCCATTGTTCTCCTTGATGGGGATGAACAGTAAACAGACTCTGAAATGACCAAACCTTTCAGTGAACTTTCAACAACAACAACAACAACAACAGAAGAACTCCCTTTATTGTTTCATCTGTTTCATCAAAAGAATGAATCATTTAAAGGAACTGTACCTGCTACTGCTACAGAACTTTTCTGTACAAACACACTTTCACCTATAAGTTATGTTGACTGTCTGACTGGCGTCCTCTGTTCTCTGATGAGACTTACAGGTAGTACATATCTGAAGTTGGATAAACAGCTTTTGTATATGTCATGTAGACGGAATAAGGGTTTTCTGGTAGATGATAAGGTCTCTTGTCAAATGTAAAACCTAAATATTGTGTGACTTGCTTGCATGATTTTGGTTAATTGATTCATAATTAAATGACCAATTAATTAGTTGTTTATATATGTATATTTTCTTCTGAATGACTGAGTAATATGTTAGAAAGGATTCTTATTATTATTTCCCAGTAATAACAATGAATTTATATTAATGTAATGTAACCCAATATGTAATAATAGTGAGGACTTTGCTAAAGTTTGAATAATTTACTGTTACTTTATTTTACCAGGTGATGTTAGTCCAGATAATGTTCAGCTCATTCACATCTGTTTCATGATGATATGTGGATTTTAGGGGAGAGTAAAACTTATATTACATTAATTCACAATAATTAAAGGATTTTTTTCCCCACTTTTCCTTCCTGAACACAGAATAGAGAGGCGTTTTATAACTAAAGACTGTTTTAGATACACCTGGAGGAATCCTAAAAGTATTAAACAGGGACAGCTTCGCCGCCATTTTTGCACAACTTCTCTGTTGCACACAATTCTTCTTCTTCTTGCACCTTTTATGTTACAGTCAAGTTAGAGCTGCAATTAAGTCAGTTAACCAGCCTCCTCATATTAGTAGGTGTTGTGTGTTCTCATAGTTTAATCGTCACCTGAGACCCTAACGAACCCCATTGTGACGGGCGGGCACTAACGACTCACATAACGAGGGGGAGGAGCAACAAACCCTCAACTGAAACCGAAACTCAGGTGTTAATGGCTCCTTAAGGATATCAGTATCTGGAACTCCCAGCTAGTCAGTCAGAGCGGATGAAGCCTCTTGGATGAAACGTCTTCAAGGAACTCAAGCAAGTCCAGTTGCTGCGATTAAACCACCGTGACCTGGATGACTGAGGATCTTCACACATAGGTGTTGTGTGATCATATTTTTGGAAGTTGTCATCCGGCCAACAAAGATCAGTCTCATTTATTTTTCACGAGTCCAGTTGAGGGCAATAAAAATCCATTTTCCTCCGACCCCAACCGATGGATTGAAAGACCAAATACAAGCGGCACCTCCACCAACACAAGCACAGCAACCAGTGTAACCGCTGAACACATCTGTTGAGATGCTGCCAAGAAAAGTCCCGATGGAGCCCATTGCCTGGTAGTGGTCTGTGCCTCAGGGAAAAGCAACACGGAAACGTGGTCCTGCATAAACCACGTTAGCTTCGAATGGAAACCCTCAACCACCCCAAAAAAGCAGGCAGAACTCCAGCTTTACTTCTGCTTCGTAAGAGTTGGTGCCAAAATAAATAATCCTCATTCATGAAATGTCATTATTTAGTTCTTTAGCTCTGAAGTAATGAATCACATTCTCTCACTCAACAGTTATTTCTAATGTGTCTCAATCATCTTATTAATTTGCTTTGCTTTGACTGTTTATCTGTTGTTAGTAGTTGTTTAGATGAGTAACTATTTTCCAGACAGCCTGAGACGGAGCCTCAAATAAACACACGATGACTACAGATCTAAGTTCTATGTAGAAATATCCACCACCGTGTCAATTAAATATTTGTTTGTTTCAGTTTGTTTATGTAATCTGTCGTCCTGATTGGCCCTTTAGGTTCATAAAGAAAAGGATGAGTACTGATGGTACATTCAGAGGCTTCTTTCTAATGTGGTTTCACACGATGAGTCATACTCCACCTGAATGTTGACCTCTGTTTCTGTCTGTTTCTCTCACAGGTTTGGACAAATCAACCCTTATTCAGAAATGGAGACATTTCTAAAGACTGGCAGGTAGACGGTCTGACTTTCGTTCGCCTCCACTGCTGCCAGCCTGCAGATACATTTCTTCCTCACCCACACTGACAGCAAGGCAACCACAGCTGTCCACTGCTGTCACTCCTCCTCCTCCTCCTCCTCCTCCACACCTGCTTGTCTCCACACCTCGCTGCAAGTGCTCAGCATGTATCAGATTGTCCCGGTGGCTCCTGGGGAGCAGCAGATGGCTGGAGGAGCCAGTGGTTCTCCGCTTAAGAAGAAACTGGCCCACGAAGGCCGGCCCCTGGTGATGGCGGGTATGCTGGGCTGTGTGTTGGTCCTGGCTGCTGTGGTCGCCTGGTGCTACTACTCAGTGTCTCTCCGGAAAGCCCACCTGCTGAAGACTGAGTTGTTAGACCTCAACAAGGACGGTTTTATCATCCGGAACCAGGCAGGGGCTGTTATCTTCACTATGACCTTCAGGTGGGTTCGCTGTGGGGATGTTTATCTGTGAATAAACTGTAGATTTTCGTCCTGATGGATCTTTTTGTCTTTGCACCACTAGTCCAAAACCCAAAAGTGTTAAGTTTACTGTACAGAACATTCAAGGCAAAGAATCAGATGGATAGAAGGAAAGAAACAAACATGTCAGAGCTATGTGAAGTTACACAAGACACAAAAGGCTGGAGAACATGTCAGTGTGGTCACCATGAGTCAGAAACAGCTGGACGACACCGAACAGCGACATGAAACATTTAAGAAACCTGGTCAGAGGGTCTTCAATGTTCTTGCTTAAAAAGTGGCTTTAAATTAACTCTCAACTGGCTCAAAGCTCTTCTCATAGTTAAAGAAGATGCAATATTAAAGTAATAAAAATGGTCCTGCTGATGCTGGCTGGCCGTTTCAAAGCAGTCAAAACACAGAGCGACCGCAAAAAAGAAGAACTTCTTCACCCTGTAATCTGAATCAGGATGCCGCCTAAAATAAACACTTCCCTTGTGAAACTAACAGCCCGTAAATCTTGGCTCTCAGTAACCCTTGTGACATAAATAACCTCTTTTGGCTTCGGCACAATCCTTTCTCTTTGTGTGTTGAGCTGCACTAAAAGGCTGCCTGTCTGCAACGTGTGGATGGATAATGGAAAACCAGATGAGACAGACACATGATTACACCCTTAGGGAGGACTGATTTAGTCACGTCCTTTATCATCAGGGCACATATCGACAGAAATAGCTGCATTTGAGGCCCTGCACTTGCAGGGAAGTAGAGTGATTGAACGGAGCACATGACATTTTGTTGTGATTGCATTCCTTCCTTGTTGTCGTATTCTAATCATCTCATTTTGGCGAGCTTGATATGTTTTCAGCAATACAGAAATGTGCTGGCTCTTCTAGTGTGTGTCATCAGTGTTTTCTCTTCCACGCACTCTGGTAGGTCTGGCACTCTGGATCTGGACTCCTGCTCAAAGGAAGGAAATATTCTGAGCTGTACCCAGTCGGATTCTGGCAAGCTCAACTTCTTCATCCAGACGGTTCGACCAAAGGACACGGTGATGTGTTACCGCGTTCGCTGGGAGGAGCTGCAGCACAAGCACTCAGTAGAGCATGCCATGACCCACAATGAGTCTCACTGGTATGGAGGGGCGGAGATGGCAACCCAGTACTGGCCTGTCAGGATCCAAGGCGAAGAGGAACCGCGGCCCTTCATCACCAGCGACGTCTACTCCAACAGAAACGCTTTTGGGGGAATCCTGGAGCGGTACTGGCTGTCATCGAATGCAACTGCCATCAAGATTAATGACTCGGTGCCTTTTCATTTGGGCTGGTCGGAGAAGAACAGCACTCTGAGGTTCCAGGCCCGGTACCAGGACTCCGCTTTCAAACCGCAAGAAGGACAGCAGGCTTTACCTGAACTCAGCTACCGAGTCTGTGTGGGGTCGGATGTTACCTCGATTCACAAATACATGGTGAGTGACTCTCGGTTGTGTTCGACTGGACCCAGAACATGTGCTTCATCCAAAAAAACTCAAGCGAGTGTATGTACGACCAGACTCTAAACCAGCTTCCTGCTCAAAGTAAAATACAGAATAACGACATTCACTTAAATCAAAACTGGCGTGAAAATGACAGGAAACACCACCCAAGCTGTGGCCTTAGCTGACACGGTGGTTGTTTGGGTTCCTGGTTGATTCTTAACGGCGATTGCAACAGAAAATGAACGATTAGCTATTCTGACAATCGACCGTAAATGATTTATCAGAACCACCAAATTGTCTCATTGTCTTCTCGTTCGTGGAGATTTGCTTGTTTGAGGTCAATAATTTGGGATTTTGGGGCTTAAAAGAAAAGATTTTTAAAGACAAACATTTTAGGAAATTTTGAGAACTGTAATATTAGATGAGTTGGTAGTGGAAGTACTGGTTAGTTGTAGCTCTAATGCACAGCTACATAACAACGTCTTCAGTCAGATTTGTTTAGATTTCACACTGAAGCCTTCATTTCCTGTGTAGATTAATGCTTAAAGAAATTGTTCAACCTTTTGGAAAATACACTTTGTTTAGTAACAAAATCCACCTAAAGCTCACTGATGTCTTGTTTGTGTAATCTATACAAATAAACAAATTGCAAAGCTCAGATAAATGTCTGCTGTAAGAAGTAAATAAGCCTGTATGCCAAAATGTCAAACTAGTCCTTTAAACTAAAGGCCGTAGAAGTAATTACATCTGTGGTCAATCTGTTCTGCTTGTTTTGCTCAGGTGCGTCGGTATTTCCCGAAGCCCATCAAAGTCCCGTCTCCTGAAGTGTTCAAGCAACCGGTGTGGTCCACGTGGGCTCTCCACAAGACAGCTGTGACTCAGGAGAAGCTGCTGCTCTACGCCTCCGACATCACCAAGCACGGCTTCACCTGCTCCCACCTGGAGCTGGACGACCGCTACACCGCCGACTACGGAGAGTTCGACTTTGACCCGCAGAAGTTTCCCAACGCCAGCGGCATGTTCGACAAACTCAGAGAGGACGGCTTTCAGGTGACGCTCTGGACGCATCCTTTTATCAACTATGACTCCATTAATTTCGGGGTGGCCGTGGAGAAGGGGCTGTTTGTCCGGGAGCCGAGCGGTGAGCTGCCTGCTCTGGTTCGCTGGTGGAACGGCATTGGAGGAATCTTGGACTTCACCAACCCAGAAGCCCGCGAGTGGTATTCGTCACATTTGCGCATGCTCAAAACCCGCTATGACGTGACCTCCTTCAAGTTCGACGCCGGCGAGACAAGCTACCTCCCACGTCAGTTCAGCACCCTGACCCCGCTGTCTGACCCCTCCACCTTCACCCGCCGCTACACGGAGATGGCCGTGCCGTTCAGTGAGCGCGCCGAGCTGAGGGTGGGCTACCAGAGCCAAAACATCTCCTGCTTCTTCAGGATCATCGACAGGGACTCGGTGTGGGGTTACGAGCTCGGCCTCAAGTCCATCATCCCGACCGTCCTGACTATCAGCATCCTGGGCTACCAGTTTGTCCTACCTGACATGATAGGAGGAAACGCATACCCCAACCGCACCACAGGTCTGCTACACCGAACATACACGTCCACAGAGAGTTTTAGAGTTATGCTGATCCTTGATATGGTTTTAGCCTGAAGGTCTGACATGTGTGTTGTGTTTTAGGTGGGTTGAATAATAAAAGCGGTCAGCCAGACAGAGAGCTGTACATCAGATGGTTGGAGCTGTCTGCGTTTCTGCCTGCCATGCAGTTCTCTATACCGCCGTGGGCCTATGACGATGAGGTAAGGCAAATAAAAGCATGGATGTGTCTTATAGTTGGAAAAAACGGAATGTCGCACTGTCCTTGTTGAAGTTCAGTAACTAGTGGGGCAGTGTTTAGTGTGGGT